ACCGGAATTTTGATTTTCACGTTACCTAATGATGATCGTAGCCACATATGTAACTTAATTTTTTAATAAGGAAAGTATTTTGGGTGTGAATAGTAGCTAAAATTTAGGTGTCAAGTATAATTGTAAGATAGTACTTGAGTTTTATTATAAAAGTTTTAAGGTGAGTCAATTATAATTATGTCGTGTGAAGAATTTTTATTAATTTCATCTTGAGGTGAGTTGACTATGATCACATCGTCATTCTGAGATAAGTTAATTATAGTGTCATCTTGAGGTGAAGGATTCTTATTAAATTCTTCATGAGATCTTTTTTTTTTCGATTCACAACTAACTGCCTTATGAGATTCACTTCTTTCAAAAACAGCTACCTGGCCTCTTTCAACCGCAAAAAACTTATTGTCCGTAACTTTAATTTTATCTGCTTTTGATATTTTATTATACACCATCTTCTTTATACTTTCTCTAAGTTTAAAGATGGGTTGTTTAGGTGGTTTCGTTTTCCAATAGCAACATTGAGGTGGCATTTGTTCATTGAGTAAAGGGTATCAATAGATTAACTAAAAAAAAAAACTTGAAAATGTTGTTTAGGGATGTGATTAATTTTATAACAAAATTCTTATTATTAAAACTATAAATAAATATTTTATTCTCTTATAAAACAATCATTCTTCAATTATTCTGATTTATTTTTGAAAGTTTTATTACTTGAACAATAAAAAAAATTGCAAAATCTTATAAGTCTAAATACTCTAGTCTACAGCAAAATGTTGCTTTTGTTTGAGATTTTTTGTTGTTAAAAGACTATCAAATTTATGAACAATAGTAATTGTGATCTTAATTTGATAGTGCTTACTCTTTTTTTATCACGTATTCGACTTTTTCTCCCTAGTAAACTATGTAGTTACTCTTATTAGTTTGATTCGATTATTAACGTATCAAAACTGGTTAGCGACTTGATTCAAAAATAATGAGCAATTAATTTAATAAAGAAGTAAGTTCCAAATTTAAAAAGTCAAATTAATAAATATTATTATTAAGATATAAGCTTATGCTTAAATTTAAAAAGGAAATTAAAACAAAAAGCATTATTGTGTTATAGCTATTACTCGCTATTTCCTGCTACATAAATAAAGCTAAACAATTGAATGCGTGCAATTTTAAATTTTATAGAAATTAGCAAGACAAAAGTCAATGGTCTAATTCGGAAAGGTACTTTACAATTAAAGTAAAAACAAAATCATAATTGTTTAAATGTTTTTATAAAATTATTTGCGCGACTCTAAATTTATATTTGCTATAGAAATTAGTGAGACAAAATTCAACTGCCTAATTCGAAAAGGTACTTTAAAAATAATTAAAAGATTTTTTTACTATATTATTTTAACGATTAAAATTAAAAAATTGTAATTGTTTGATATGATGTAATGCTTTTATTTGTCATTCGTATCCAATAAAAATAAAATATAATTTCTTTATTGTAAAAAAAAAATGCTGCTTTAAAAATATTATAAAAATTCAAAATTCGACGGCTTTGATCTCAAAGTATTAATAAAGCTGCAATTATTTTCATCAGACGGTTATTTTTTATTTATTAATACAGTTAGTTATTAAAATAAAAATGTTAGTAAAAACTATTAAAAAGACTAAAACCAAACATGTAAAAAAAACCAAGACTATATCTAAAAAAGTATCTAACAAAGACATAATAAAGCATAATTATAAAGACCATTATTCTGCAATTGAAGCTACCCTTAAAGAACTTGCAAGCTCCACAAACTCCAGTGTAAATTCAATCGCCATAAGGTTTGGAATTCCTGAGACAACACTTAGATGCGCCATTAAAAATAGTTTACCTAAATGTCCTGGTCCTGAGACAATTTTAAGCAAACACGAAGAAGAACAACTAGTGGGCTATTGCAAGAATATGCAAAGGTTGGGATTTGGTCTATCAAAGTCAGAGGTGAACTATTGTGTTATAGAAATAGTGCATAACAACCATTGTGCCCATCCGTTTGCAACTAAAGAGCCTGGCAGAGCTTGGTGGAATCATTTTTTAAAAGATCATCCAGATTTATCTTTTTGAACGCCTCAAGCTTTATCGGAGGCACGTGCTCAAAGGGCAAATTCAATAGTTATCAAAGACCATTTTAGTAAATTAGAAAAGATAATAGAGGAATATTCACTTACTCCGGACTGTATCTGGAATATGGATGAAACCGGATTTGTTATTGCTCCTCGAATCCAAAAGGTTTTTGCAAGGAAAGGTTAGTATTAGAAAATATTATTTCAAGTTAACTAACATTGGTATTAATTATCATGAATTTTCAACTTATCAAAGGTGCTCGTCAAGTTTACAAGATCTCGCATAGAAACGTGTATGACCATATTTCACTTGCACCAACGATTTCAGCAACTGGTAATTTTATCCCTCCACTATTCATATATAAAGACATTCATGCAATACCGGGTCTATTATCTGGTGCCCCAAATGGTTTTATCATGGGCTTCACTGATTCTGGATATATGCGAGAAGAGCTCTTCCAAATGTATATTGAACACTTCGTCAGTTCAATTCCTTCTTCCCTCCGGTTTTGCTCATGCTTGATGGGTACAAGAGCCACATAAACTACACAAGTTTAAAATATTGTAGTAAGAATGGGATTCTATTATATGCGTTGTCACCACATACTACACACGTTCTTCAACCCTCTGAAATTTCTTTTGCCAAACTCAAATCGGAATATAGCAAGGGTTGTGACCAGCTTCACAATAATACAGGTGAAGTGGTAACTAAACACACGTTTGCAAAAATCCTCGGGCCGGCATTTATAGCAACCTATACTTCAGAAGCTATT